TAAGTATAACTATAACTCTTAATACAAACCGAAGTTAAAGTGCGTTATAATATATATAAGTTGTTCAATATCTTCATCTGGTAATCCTTCGGTTACAGCTCTATGTTGTAATGCTTTGATACCGATATCGAATCCACTCAAAGATTTTCCTTCTGCTAAAATAATTCTAAGATGTATATGTTGTTCTTATATGCTTATTACTTGTTTTAAAATTTTCAATGATTATTTATATATTTTGTTATAAAATATTAATTATGTATGAAAATGAACGATCTATTGTAATTTTAATGACTACATCATATCAAATATATGTTATATTTAATTCGTAAATATATTTCTTACTTTTATATAAGACTGGATGTTATGTTATGTTATGTTAATTTGTACACAAAATTTTGTTAAAAAACATTTCTCTCTCGTGACATATTTTTATTATCCAAATCATTATTTCACATCTTTTTTCAGTTGATGTATCATTCGCTTACCTTTTAATTTCTTTAAAAATTTAGAACTTAACTCAGCATTCTCCAAATTGTTTTCCATTTTTATAAGAACCCGCGCAAACAACTTTTCAATCTAACATCTAAACTTTGCACAGACGCACGGAGCCCAGACGCATGAGCATTCAACATAAATCATAATTAAATAAGAGAGAATATCTGTGATATAGAATTTGGTAGTTACAAATTTCGACGCTATTGGCGTTACTGTCGTCGAAATTAATTTACCATTCTTTTATCATCGGATTTATATTTACAAAATAAAATCATAGATGGCATGACAATTTTCGTAATTCAAATTCAAATAATTTTAGGATAGTATATTTTAAGTCGAATTAATAAATTAAATTAAAAAAGAAAAGATAATAAGAGAAAAAAGAAAATATAGTTTGATTAATTAATTATTATAAATCGCACGTAAAATCATACGTGTTATAAAGTAATGAATAAAAAATAAATGTTAAATTCAAAATGTTACTAGAGTACATTAAAGTATTCGATATACCTTAAATAATTGTTAAATAATCGAAAGAAATGTATATTGTTATTTAAAAATACTGTGTATATGTTCGGAGTATCTTCTTCTTCGAAATTCATCTTCAGACTGGGTCATTGTTCTCTATTAAAATTCTTTTATTAAATGTCTGTATATAACTTTTCGAAGGTTGCGCATGCGCATAGCGGGAATACTCGTAATTAATAGAATTTCTTCCTTCGGAAAGTTATATAAATAAAAGAAACTTTTATTTTTTTCGTATTTGTTTAATTCACTTGTTATAAATAAAGCTTTCAAGTTTAATTAATTAAATATGTAATTAAAGTATATTAATGAATTTATTTTTAAATGTTCTTCATTTCAAATGAATTATATCAATGGTTTTCATGCAAAAATCTAATAAGCGTAATGGTGTACGATTTAAAAAGAAACACTAACTGTATATTTTATGTAAATTAATATTTATACATTATTTAGATGTTAACATAGAATAAAAATATCAAAAATTGTTATAATAATAATTCATTTGTATTTATAACTATCGAGAAATAATTTATTCTTATTCTTTTATTATAGTATTGTTCTTTTCTTTTTATAGCAAGGGTATAATTAAAAAAGAAAAAGAAAAATGTCGGAAAAAGATGAATGTGATAATATACGATTTTTATTTTTGTTATAAGCTATTTCACATCCGTATAACGAGTACAATCGTTGCATTAAACGATTTTTTTGTTTCACATGTACAATCTTGAATAATTTCTCTATGATATCATTATTGTTTATTGCTAAAGAGGTGAATATGTGATAATTACAGAATTCGTGTTAATTAAATATATTGATATAATATCACATATCGCTGTAACGAGAGAATAATCTACTAAAATCAAGCAAGCATACCTTTAATAGTTTTACTTATTTATCTTTTTCTTTTTTTTAATATATATATATTTTTTTCGTTTTAATATTTTATATTGTGCGAATAATATGATGTATCAAGCCTTTTTTTTCGTTTTTTTTTTAAACTATTCCGAATGTGTGTGTGTCATGAATTTTTGTCTTCTTTTTAAGAAGTATAATATTTAATATTTTGCAGTAAATTGCGCACCGACATACTTCCGTTGTCTCTTTACGAATTTGATTTTTGCAAGAAATAAAGAAAGAAGAGAATAATAGAAAAAAAAGAACACCCATATATACACACAGGTTGCATTCGGTATACTTTTATTTTTATTTTTTGTTCTTATATTAATATCGACTGGATTATAACTTTGATTTCTTTGACGAATGAAAAATAAACATGGCCGATAAATAAGTAGCATGTGCGTTTTTGTAAAAAAAACTTGCACTTACTGAACGATCAAGCTAGCAACTTGTTAAATAATTCAATCATTTTCTTCTAGAAATTTTAATTCCTTTTTATCTCTAAAAAGAATGAAGTTATAATCCGTTCCGATTACCGTATACAACCTTGTCTATAATTTGAAATAATCTCTTGAAGAGATTTAACGTTTAAAATTATAATTTAGCTAGGATGAAAAAATTGGATTGAAATACTTAAAAAAAAAAAAAGAATAAAATTAATTTGAGAAAGGAAAACAAATATTAAATAATATCGTCAGTAGTGAATAATATAAATAAAATATTATTATCTATATATATCCAGCATATGTATGTTCTTTAGTAAAGTTCGACCAGACTATATAAATTCCGCAGTGTCTTAAATTGTATAGGAAAATATTAAATGCGGTAGAAGCAGTTCAGTCTCATTTTGTACATTTGGTCTATTTATGATTATAAACGAAATTGTTTCTTTTTCTTTTTCTCTTTTCGAATATATATATATATTTATAATTGATTATGTATTTTTTAATAAAGGAGGCGTTTCTTTTATTTTTTTGTTCTTTTTTTTAAAAAAAAAGGAACTTTTGTGTTAAACAAAAATATATATAAAGGAGACAAATTCTATTTAATGTACTTTGTGCACAAATTAATTGGGGTTTTTTTTCTTCTTTTTTATATTAAAATTATTGAAATAAGAAAAAAAAGAAGAATAATAATAATAACATTGATAACAGCGCTGTGCTTTTGCAATAAAGACATACAGAAAGCCTGGCACTTTAAAGTCTAGCAATATATATATTATTATTATTATTATATTATTATTATTAATTATTATTATATTATTATAATATATATATATTAAGGAAAAATATATATATACACATCGATATACAGTGGCATCCTGCATATTTAGTTGTATAAACGAACAGATGATTTTATTCCAAAAACTAAATAAAAATTATATAAAATACAATTAATTCAGAAAAATAAGTTTTTAAATTTATCGAGTATGTGTGTAATTGAATTAGTTTTAGCTTAACGAATCTCAATATTTTTACTTAGTTTTTTACGTAGAATCATTTCCTGCTTGTACCACCACTTATACGTATATCACTTGTATATATATATATATATATATATATATATATAATAGTGTTTACACAATTTTCCTTATTGATTCATGTCAATAATATATGCTACATTGCCTATTTTTTTAATATGTACTGTATATACATTTAGCGAACATAGCTCATATAAGGGTTATATTATTTAACCATAAGATAATAATCAAACATTTTTTTTATTAAGAATAAAAAAGTAAAGGAAAGTAATATTACGTATACTCATTAAATTATGGTTTTAAAATGTTATCAACTTCTATGGAAACTTTTTTTTAAATAATGTAGGCAGTGACTTTAGCTCGACGATTCGAGCATTTAAAATAAGAAATTTTCTTTGGATAAAATTGATCTATATGAAAACAATAATGATTACAAATGAAATGAACTTCTTCAAAACACTTGATTAAATATCATTCCAAATAATTGTCAACAGTCAACGGTGCTAGCTAGATGACAACATAAAAAAAATTCTTTATAGTTATTTTTATATATTATATGGGAATCACTCACAATTATTATTCTAATTCTATCTATGTCTTGTTATTTCTCGATAAATAATATCTATTTGTTATATATATATATACTATAGAATTGTAAAGATAAAAGTTATAATTAAAATTTGAACCAAGTACTTGCATTTTCAAAATATAAATTTTATATAAACAATATCAAAATTGATAGAGATTAATAGAGACATTATATAGATGCAAGTTATGTAATTATTATAGTTTTGTATATGAAATTTACAATAGCGTAAATTTTCTTCAATCACTTTCATAAGAAATTTTACATTACTTATTGCTTTTGATTAAAAAATAATATATATAATATATATATATATATATGTATATATATTATATACTATTTTTGTAAATTTCATTTCAATTAGTTTGTTTCTTCATGCTGTGCATTAGCTAACACCAACAATCGTTATGTATGTTGTTTTTCTTAATAAGCAAGAATAAATGAGGCAGCAAGTGAATATTAAGCCTTTAAGTTTGTTTCTTTTATTGTAAATGGCAATTTCTTTTTTAAATGTTCGAATAAAAAAAAGAAAATTTGTTTTGATATAATAATATTATCAATGCAAAACAGCCCACATTCGTTCAAACATTCTAAAATAGCAGCATTTTGCGAAATATTTGCTCTACAGAGAGTAACTTGTTTATTTTGATATATACTTCTTATACACATACACATCCCACATTTTTTACTTTTTATTTTAATTATTATTTTTTTTTGTTTTAAATACTTTTTACTCCTATTTATATATATATATATTTATATATCCTTGAAATTATTATTTATTCATTATACTATCAGATCTTCCAGTTGCCATTTATTTCAAGTATCTTATCATTTATATATATATATTCTTTTTTTTTTGTTTTTGATATTTCTTGTAACTTTGGTACATTGCTATTAAAATGTTGACCATACAATTTTAAAAATTTTAGAGAGTATTTTTTTTTGTAAGAACTAAGAATTTTTCTTCTTCCTTTTTTTTCTTTCTTTGTTTATATATATATATATCTGTATACATACACATAAATACTACTTGGACGCTTATGAAATCACAAATGATAGTATTCGTTATTGCCAAGAAGAGATATTTGTGATATTTCATAAGTTTAATAGTCCTTATCGTAATTATCGATGTACTTATCTTAATACTGCCTAATAATATAACTTCCTAATTTTCATATACAAAATAATTAACACATAAGTGTTAGCAAGTTAACATTGCTGAGAATGTCATTGACCTATATTCATAAGCTATATAATTACAGAATATAACAATAGCAATGATAGTACATAGTAGATAACTGATTGATCTGAATGTATTAAATAAATCTGTCATGTGTTTGATCGAGAATGGGCTATTATTAATGTTGATTATACAAACTTAAATATTACTTAAATATATATACTATGTATATATATATTAAGTATGTACTAATTGCTTGATACAGTCTGATGAATTAACGATATTATATATTCTTTCCGGAAACATCGCAAAATATAGATTATTATATTAAAAAACTATCATATCCATTAAAGCAGACTATGTTAATGAAAAAGCTAAATGTTACAGCGGTGAAAAATTAATTTGTAGTTTCGTTTGTTTTGTTGTTTCAATTGTATCATGTCAAATTTTGAACATCCATCTTTGGCACAGTATACGTTCGTTAACTTAAACAGACAAGAATAATTTGTATGTAATTAAAAATAGAGGAAAAAAAAAAAACAAAAAGAAAATTGTAAAAGAAAAAAAAATATACGTATTAGCAATCAATTATTAACGTTGATACTTGTCTATCTTATAGCCCAAAAATTGTAGTATGCAACTTAAAAATCAACAGAACGTATATATGTATACTTTTTTTTCTGTTACCTAATTTGAATTTGTATAATCCATAAAATCATAAATACAATCAAGTGATCCCTTATATAAACTAAGTCTTGTCAAAAATATTACTAAATACATCCCAAATATTATTTTCAAAAAACTGAATGATAGTGTATACATAAGAACGACATATGCCATATGTACATGCCTTGGAGAGATGTATGTTTAATATATTGTTGTATGAGTAGAATGAAAATATGAGGGATGTTACTTTAAAAACATAAGTCAGTCAAATTGATAAGTGCAAAGATAATTACAAGTTTAAGTGCACATTAATGTACACTATTGTTTTTGACACTCACGCACTTGTCAGACACTAAGAAAATGAAATATGCATCACTTCATCACTCTTAGCAGCAGCAATTGTCCAGTGCAATTGGTAATCGTTCTTAATCGAACGAAATATACACATAATTGTTTTATAATTAACAGAAAAATAATAATATAAACAGTTCAGTTCCAACTGGCATCACTGTCAGCTCCTTCTTCAATGGAAGAAGATGAAGGAGATAACAAAGGATCATATATTAGATCCGTATTATGTAGGAACTCTTCTCGTTTTCTCTTTCTACCATGTCTGCGTTTCTTGGTTTCCAGTGCTATCTTATCTTCTACTGAACGTTCCTTGCGAAATTCATAGACTAGCGGATAGATATATTCTATTGCAGCTTGAACAGCAGCAACATTAGGTGCTGTAACATTATTGTACATAAGTTAAATGATGATATCAAAGATTGCCTTGGGATAAAACAAAGAATATTATTAACCTGTTACTGTAACACTTCCGGTAGCAAATATTTTTAACGTTGCTTTTGGTTCTTTCAATTTATATGTTACACCAGGATGTAATTCTGGTTCGTAACTAAAATATGAATAAACTTATAATCTTCCCATGTTTTAAATCAATTTGAATTAGAGGAGAAATTGACTTACTCCGCATTATCTTTATGATATAAAGAAAACGATGTTATTTTGATGGCAAACGGCATACAGCATGTACCTAATACATTAACCACTCTATAATTATTAAACCGTGCTTTAAAGCCAAGTTTTTGAAGGGAACGCGCAAATCTACGTGCTGCTACTTTTGCTTCTAGTTCACTAGTTGCACCAGTACAAGTTACTTTTCCTGAAGACCAAATAGAAGCAGTTGTGTATGGTCTTCGCAACTTCATTGTGATCATCTGGAAGTATTAGTTGATTTAACTGATTACTATTTAATGAACCAAACGTAAGAAACGAGGATCCTTATTCATGGCAATTTTTACAGGCAATATTAAATCATAGTACAAGGGACTAACTGTTTAAGTACTGAATACTTTTGGACAAAACATTTTTTTGGGAATGGTATACGTCGCTACTAATGTGAGCTTATAATTTATAATAATTCTTTCAATAAAATAACATGAGATAATTATTTCTGAGCATAATTTTGGTGCGATAAGACTCAAAACAATTATTAATAGAGAAATCAACATTGTATACTTTGCATTTATATCAACAAATGCACATATGCATTCATGCTAGCAACTTTTACTAAATACATATATGCATTTGTAATACTGAAAGGGTTAAAATCGTAATCGAATCATTTTGTTTCAATATCAACATTTTATTTCTATTATATTCAAAATATAAAAATTACTTACTCCATTTTCTCTTCTGTACTCAACATTTGAACCATGCAGAGCAATTTCTCTTAAATTAAGATGACACCTTACGCTAAAGCTACATACTACATTATTTATAACAATATCAAGCTCTGGTGTATCTTGATCGGGATCAGACATACATGTCTGTATATCTTCTTTGAAGAGTCCATTATCTTTACTTTCTGTACATATATCACTGTTATCTAAATTTTCAACATTTTCTACATGATTTAAAGATCTATTCGTTAAAGGTTTCATGCTATTTTTCTGAATAGCAGTTGCCATAATATTATATACCTAAAACAGAATATAAATTATTTATAAAACATTTGATACTTGAATATTAAATATTATTAATAATAATCAATGAGTATACAATATATATATATAATAATCATATTTATTTTAATATAGGTAAAACAAAAGTAAAATTAATAAAAGAAATAGATAGTAATTGTAAATGATATAACAATAGTCTGAGATATGAGAATTAAAAGTAAGTATATAGAGTAGCGATATATATAATCAGTGTATTTTTAATTAACTTCAATAATATTATTATGGTAATTATCTCTGTGTAAAATAGCCTTGTATTTTATATGAGCGCGTGTTTGAAAAAGTTTTATAAAAAAAGAACATAAAATTATAAGTATTACAAATCTTGAATCGACATCAGTGTAAATTAGATAATCGTATAATTTAAATATTATTAATATATTTATGGATAAACATTTAAATGTTAACATAATTAATATTTTTAATATGTCATCCAACGAAATACTATAGAGCCCATTCTACGAGGACACGAGGAATAACTCAAGGTCCGAAGATTGTTAAAAAAAAATTAATTTTTCAACGAATCAACGATAGAAATTAGGCATGCAAAATATTAATCACGTGTGAACAATTTATCTAATATAAATAATCTATTAATTATTATAATTTCATATAATAGCGTCTCCGAAGAGAGGAAACGGATACTATTACATCGATGTTGACAAAATTGGAATAACTATTGAAATAAATCTATTTCTACTTAATTCTATTGTTACAATTATTATCTAATAATACTTACTTTTGACTAATAACGTATTATTTATTAAATAATGAGTCCAATATTAATATTTTTGTTGACAAGTGCAAAGAAATCGTACAGCTAGCTCAATAACTAAGACCATTGCTACCAGCCATGTTCTTTGAAACTGGCGACCGCTAGTTATCACGTTGACGACTAACCAGAAACATCCATAGAATATAATGCTAGATTCACATTATTCCTTTTCGCTCTAAACTACCATTGACCAATCAAAAATGAACAAATTTGTAATTGACCAATGGTAACGCGCTAGTTCAATTAGTCGAGTTTCTAAATACGTTCTCATTGGTTTACTTGTGTATCGTTGTTTTAAATTTGTCCTATATAGAAAATAAATAAATCATTATAGTAACGTAAATGTTATAATAAAAAGAAGAAAAAAATAATAAGAAGAAAATGAATATTTATGAAGATTAGAAGAATGTTATACATTGAAAATAAAAAAGATAGATTTTTATTTTTTTTCTGCAAAAAATTTGTCTAGTGTATTATGTAAGATATGTTATGTTAAATGCATAATTCATGACTGCAAACTACATATTGGATGTAAGTAGTATTGACCGTCGGATGACAGTACCGCGAAATGTGAAATGTACGTGTTTATATTTCAACAAGCATAGTTAATTTGAGAAACCGTTTAAAATAATAAGAACATTTTAATCATGGACTGGGAAGTTTCTTACAGGAATATGTGTCGTGCTTGTATGAAGATTGATTGTAAACTTTTACCAATATATTGTGATGACACGTCTGGTATCAAGAATTTACCTGAAAAACTTCAAGAAGTTACTTTAATTCGAGTAAGTAAAGAAGTTATCTGATTATAATTTTAATTTAATTAATACAATTCATTTTTATCATTTTGCAATGTTTAGATAACATTTTTCATAAAAAGGAAATATCAATGGGCACTTATTAACCTCAAAAATTGATCTGCATACAATTATTTATATATCTGTGCATATAAAAAATGTTGTTTTTTTATTTAATATTATAAAACAAATAGTTTACAATTTGTAATTTGAAAAAATGAATATATATAAAGTTAATTATAGATAACCGATCACCTACTGTATATGTAAATATTTAATGATTTGTAAAAATAACATTCAATGTTTTATAAAATTATATTCATTTGTTCATTAATGATAAAATAATATGAATAAAAAATAAATTGGTTTAGGTTGACAAGAACGATGGATTACCACAGATGCTTTGCTCTAAATGTGCTTATCGGACAATTGCATCGTATAATTTTAGATTACAAGTACAAAAGTCGGAGGAAAAATTTAGGAAGATGCTTAATATGCAAGTGGAAGACGTAAAAGTAAGTTGTTACATTAAAATTGAATATGTTTGTATAATAAATATTTTTAATCATTTTATTTCTGTTATAATAGGAAGGAATGGAAGAAAATGTAAATGAACAGAACTATATAATATTAGAAGATGAATTAATGGAAAAAAAGTTTCTCTTCGAAACTTCTGCAATGATTTCTGATAATTGTGATAATGCGAGTTCTATTAACGAAGAATTAAAAAAGGAGGATACAGAAAAGAAGAGAGAAGACGAACAATCTTTAGAAATAATATCGTTAATGGATTTTAATAGTAACAATGAAATGGATAAGATTCAAGATCATTTAGATAATATTATAAATGATTCTCAGCCCGATAAATTATATAATATTAAAAGTGAATTAGATGATCAATTTGGTAATACGTCTCATTCACAAGATTTAAATTATACAGTGGTATATGTAGGGGACACAGAAATGGAATCTGTTAAATCACAGGATCATGATCGTCTGTGCAAATCAAAGGATGAAAATATTAATATTCAAACATTATTTTCTAAAACTACTTTTGAAGAATCTAAGACAAATGAAAATTTTTTAAATACAATATACATATCTGGTAATATGGAATCAAAGGATGCTAAAGCATTAAACATTGAAACCGAAGCTTGGCAAATGATATCAACAGATGAACCAATAGAACAGGTTGATAAAATAAATCTAAACGTCGAACAAGATTGTAAAACAACGGAGAACATGGAATCACAAGAAACTAATGATTCTGATTCGGATTACTGCATTGATCGAAAGGATAATATTGTAGGCAGTTTAAATGATATGATAGCTAAAATTAAAGAAATAAAAACTGAGAATAATACAATAGAATATCAGTGTACTTTGTGTTTGCAGAACTATGATAAACTTACCGGTATTTTACTTCATACTATTGATAATCATGTACCAAGTAGTGGTCCATTTTTTTGTGTCGTTTGTGAAATGGATTGTAATAGTCATAAGGAATTAAGGAATCATGTAAAGATACATACTGGACAATTTCCGTATATTTGTTTCATGTGTAATAAAAGTTATGCTTCGAAAAGATATTTAAAGCGACACATGGTTGGTCATACCAACTTAGGAAGATATCGTTGTCCAAAATGTGGTGAAAGATTTAAAACTAAAGTAGAATTAGAAAATCACATTGAAACGCACGTACATGGGGCACCATATACGTGCAGTCAATGTCCACGCTTATTCAACCACAAAGGTAATTACAAAAGACATTTAATTTCACATTTGGATCCTAAAGGTCTTCATTTACCAAAATTCCCATGCACTGTTTGTGGGAAACGTTTCTTGAATAATCGTACTCTTGAAACTCATATGCGGGTTCATACAGGAGAAAAACCATTTCAATGCGATATATGTAATAAAAGTTTTTCACAGCAAGGAAATTTATTAAATCATTTAAGAATTCATTCGAATTCTCGAAGTTATACATGCGAAGTTTGTGGGAAAAGATTTAACCAAAGAGCTACGTTAAAAGATCATAGTTTTATACATACGGGAGAAAAACCTTATATTTGCAATGTATGCGGAGTAGGGTTTACATTCAGTGCAGCATTAAGACGTCACATGTGGAATCATGCTAGTGGAAAACCTTTTGGCTGTGAAATTTGCTCTTCACGTTTTGTAGGAAAGTATGATTTAAAACGCCACATGCAAATTCATAGCGGCAGACCAAAAATGAAACAAAGGAAAAAGGAAGGGCAAAATAACACGGAAGAAGTATCGAGAGAAAATATTACTGAAGTGGTAAACACAGAAACTGTTCTCATAGAGCAAGTTCTTTTAAATCAAGATGTAACGCAAGTTATACCTCAAGAAGAAGCAGAAAAAGAAAATGTAGATGCCCTTTTCAATCTTATACGCTATGATTAATATTATTTAACAAATACTTCATTTTTTCTACTTATTTTCCTCGAACGATAGAGTGGTAGATACATTTTGCTTGGATTGGATAGAATTTCTGTTTTTTTAAGTAACTGGACATATTGTATAGCTCCATATTGGAGATATTAAATATTATTTTAGATATAATTGACATATTTAATTTATAATATAAAGCATAATAATCTTAAGGGATCATGATTTATAAACTTTAGGAATGATTTAAGCAATAAATGATTGCTTTGTGAACTTATAGGATGTAGCTAAACAATTTTCTTTGATTTCCTTATGCAACATTATTTATACGCATATTAGTAAATTCCTTTTTCACATTTTATTTATGTTTAACATAAGTAAATATAAGACTGAACACAAAATTACCAGTTTTAAAAATATTTTTTATCATGGACTCTAATTCTTTACTCTTATACAATGTGTACACATGTATGCGTATGATTATATAAAGGAATGGTACATTTATCAAAGTTGTATATAAGATTTTCATTATAATTTAATTGTATTTAATAATTTTTACAATCTACCTTAACATGTAATTTTTTATATTAATTTTAATTATTTTAAAACTTCTATTTTATTTGCTGTTGTAAATTATTCTTTTGGTAACATTATATGATAATTTGACTGATTTATCTTACGTCGGTAACGTGTTTAAATACGAATGCGCCACCTACCTGCATAAATGAGTAAGATGTTTGTAAATTCGTTCTCGTTAACATAGGTAACACATTATATTATGCGCTTGACCATAAACGTACGCCATCTAGTTGCATAACAAATTCTGAAGCTGTATATAGTACTATTAAAAATTCTTCGAGAAAAATAAATCTCATTGATTTCATTCAACATGTAAGATTTATTTATAACAGAAGGCATAGCAATGAAATAGTTAAAGTTACAGAATAATTCTCTCTCTCTCTCTCGATAAGTTATGATATTACACGTTTTAAATTGTTATATAATTAAATATACGTATTTATTGGCTTTTTAAATTACTTTAAAGTCTGAAATATAAAAAGAATATAATGAAATCTTTCACAATTATACATTCAATTCTCGTTTACACTTTTTAATTGTATTAAAAAAACAATAATAACAGTAGTAAATTAAATAAATGATAAACAACTGTTTGCATTTTATAATATCTACAAATAATTGGAAAAACCAGATCAAGACGTCTTCAAATGGTTGGAAATCTCAGTCACTAGGAAATTGTCAATAAAGTGTAAAAAATAGAATTAACAATATCATAGAAGGTAGAAGAATTAACAATATTATAGAAGGGAGGAAGAAATAAAAAAAATATATTAAAAAATTAATTTGCTCGGAGAAGAAGACGAGGAGACAGCAATCTCAAGACGTTATCGGTTGCACGGACACCGCACGATTGAAGTCCGCACGTCCCGGTGAGTTCGGTGCGCGTTGGACGAGTGCGCATCTCGCACATGCGCAATGATTAGAAGAGCGCTAGTGGCGCCAGTCATGGCGGCGGAAAACACGCGCGCACGTCAGCACCGCCGCCGGTCGGTGCCTCCACGCCTCCACCTCACCTCCACCGCCACCTCCGCCGCTGTACTCAGGGCTCGTGGGTAAGTACCCTCATACTCCATGCTCCAATCAGTCTGCACTCGCATGTCCACGAGGTTGCTTGCACGGGCCTGGTGGTTATCCTCTTCCACCCGCACTTACAACATCCTGACGCCAAGCTCCCTCTTAGCCTCCTTCTCTACGTTCTCTCGGTCCTTCATTTCGCTTCCCTCGTTATCCCTTCCATCTGTCATTTCCTCTCTACTTCGTCCTTCCTTATTCCATTACTCTATTTTTCTTTTTAGATTTATGCTTTTAGTTTTTGCATATTATCTTGCGACGACAATGTGTTTTCCTATAACCAACAACACAACAAGCCAACCTATCCGTCCAAACGAACCGTCCCTTTTAGCCGGCTCACCTAAATAACGTGCTTACTTATATAGTAGTACAGGGTGAGTCGATCCAGTGGTAAACCACTACACAACCACCGTCGTTGTTACCACCGCTTGAATTATCGGACGCGTAAAGTTGCACGTTATTTTTGACAGACCACGGAGAGGTTAGGTCTCGCGAGTGAGAGATACACACATAGAGATAGAGAGAGATAGATTGAGAAGGGGAGGAAAGAGTGGCGGGCTCGCGTGCTCCGTTTGAATTTTGAAGTCGCGCCACGAGCGCTACTCTTACCCTCTCTCTCTCTCTTATTTCGAGAAAGCGCGCGCGAGTAAAAGAGAAAGAGGGAGGATGGAAGGGTGGGGAGAAAGAGAAAGATAGAATCATCTCGTCTTTTGTTACTGCCGCACTGTGACCGGAGTAGCAGCACCATCACCAGCAACGGCACCCGCCGAGAGTATATCGTGACGTCGGTATACGGCGTGATGTACGCCGCCGTACGAGGACGAAACGAGAGGGAGAGAGAGAGGAGAGGAAAAGCGCGCGAATCGTGAGCCACCGTCAGTGTACGTCGCGCCAGTCTCCGCGCCGGTGTTCGAGCGCTCTTGCGTTTATTCGAGGTTAGGTTTGACAAGGCGCGTTCTTCGAAACACGTTAAACACGAAAGTCTTCACATGTTTTCTCCAGTTTTACTTACGCAAATAATTTATCTCGATTAAAGTATCGCGTTGTTATCATTGTCGTTGTTATTACATTTTTATTACGATATTGTCGTTGACTATTATACATACCATCTCGTGCATCGTCCTTTTATATGTCACTTTAATAAACTAACGTTGAAAACGTTAGTGTCACGCGGATATGGTGCGTCCAGAGAAGAAACTCGAAACTAGTTTCTCGCAAAGCGACGGATAAGAGAGGATTTAAACGGAGAAAATCTGAAAAGAAATAATAGTGTGAATGTTCTCGGATAGCCGTATGTCGCGGCTTGCCGCGCACGACTTTTTCAGTGCACACGAGGAAAATGTACGAGCATTGGTGATAAAAGGATATATATATATATATATATATATATACATATATATACACAAGTTATTTAATATACTCTTATTGCTCTTCGACGATTCCAATTCTTCTTCTTCCTCTTCTTATTCTTATTCTTCTTCTACTTTTATTTCTATTCCTCATCGAATTACAATGATGTCTTCTTCGCACGATCGCTGCCAAGTTATTAAAACCACGTTGGAAACATTCAAATTTATTTTTACAATAACATACATAAAATGTTGAAGAAAAGATAAGAACGTGTACACGAGAATAGAAATTTTAATTACAAATTAAAAAAATATATTTAATATAAACATACATGCACGCGTGCATATACACACGTGTACAGATATGTCAAAAATTGAACGAAAAATATACATTCACTGGTATAACTCGCGTTAATACGATAAAGTGTTGTTTTTAAACCTCGTTAAGAAATTTAGTTCCGATTGGTTGGAGAACTACGGTGCAACAAGTGTCCAGCCTAAACGTTTTGCTTTCTGTAACGAGACATCACATCAGAAGGACATCGAAGATACGTCATTTGATGAACAGACGACAAACGGATATCGATCATCTTCATCGATCATCATTTAATGCTGTTCGATAAACTTAATCTCGAAATTATTTGAACAATTTAAACCGATCATATTTTTCTTCTTCTTCTTCATCTCATTTTGATTACAAAAATTATTAGATAAAATTAATATAAATCAATTTATTTATCAAATATTAATTTTTCTGCGTAGACTAAAAAAGAAAACAACTTGTGCCGTCGGAATCGTTTGATCTCGTATTGCAATAAAAAATGCAATGGATTAATTAAATATGACAAAAGTATGCACAATAAATTGAGAATAAGAATTCACGTAACTCGAGTTTCGAATGGCGTGCGTCGGGACTTGAAAGATTAATTTTGTATTCGCGAATATTTCCCTGTTGAAACTTGTACCAACCGTCGAAATATAATTGGTAATGTCGAAGTGTAATCGTAGAATTCGATGATCCGGAATTTCGTTACGCGTTCATCGCTTTAGCTCTGCGTTCGACGGTATCGGATGATGACATAATATCGTCCAAGTATTGATTTTCCCCCCTTTGATTCGATTTAAATCGTCGATACATCCCCATGCCTTGTATACACGCGTCAAAAAAATCTTTAATATCTTTTTTTTATAATTCGAAGTCAAGTTATATATATATGTAAATAATCGTAGGAGATTCAAGATTACTTATATTCACCTATTTTTATTAATACCTTTTTTTTTTATATTCGGAAGTAAAGTTATTTATATTTATATATATAATATATAATGCAATTTATATATAATATATATATATATATATATATATATATATATATATATATATATATATATANTATATATATATATATATATATATATTTAATAATATTAATATTATTAAATAATAATTATTATTATTATTATAAAAATATTAATAATTTAATAATATATATAATACATATTTATATATAAATATTATGCAAATAATATCGAGCTTATTAAACACAATTGCAATAAATAAAACGTAACGAATTAGTTTTTATATTTCGACAACCAAAAAGAAAAAAAGAAAAAATAATTACAAATTAAATTTTACCAAGTAAAAGATAATAATTATCGTGTAAAGTAACTAAAGTAATATAAGTATAAAAAAAGGAAAACACAAAGTGCAAATAATATCAATAAATATTATAAATATAATTGAAATAAATAAATCGTAACGAATTCGTTTTTATACTTTGACAACCAAAGCTTCGATTGCAAATGATTGACAAAAAAAAACTACAAAAAATTGTTCTCTTTTTTTATTGTTAAATAATTTATTTATTATCATGTATTCGATATGAGTTCACAAATCGTTGGGTTAGGTGATTTCTCTCACGTGTCGCATTAGGTTTCTCAATTTTCCATGGACGAACGTGCGCCGTGTTTCTCACTATATTATTTCTATCTATTTATTTATTTTATTTTTTTTATTTTTCTTTCTTCAACCCGTAAGAAAGAGAAAGAGAAAGAGAAAGAGAAAGAAAGAAAATCGTGTATCTTTTTTTTCTTGCGCGTCTCGTTAGGAACGGTGACTTTGCGTGGAACGAGAAAGAAGAAGAAGAAGGCAGTCTGGCAGCGATCGATGCAATTACTCCCGTATCAAATTCGATATGTCCCGTTGAAAGGTTAGAACTAGCAACAGCAGCAGTAGCAGCAACAACAGTAACAGCAACAGTAACACCATAAAGCAGCAAACACTAAAGGCAAATGCAACAGAAACTGAAATAGGACTAACAGCAGTAACAAAATAAAAAAAAATAGCAATTTAACAATAGGATATCCCTATTGTTGGATTAGTAGTCTCCGTTAATGACAAACTATTCAATTGCGGATAGAAATAATTAACTAAAGTGACGACCGATTAATAGGACAGACGAGAGAACTAAACCATTGGATAACTTGATTCTTCTTTGTTGATTAACGATGAGGAATGTATTATTGAAATTTTTAAATAATTTAAGTAATCTTTATAATCTTAATAATCGTTTTTGACAAGAAAAATAATTAGTAGGTGATCATCTTTTGATATCTTATTATATCTATAATGTGATTGATTAGAAATAAGATTTAAATTAAAATTAAAATTAAATAGAAAATAATAATATACAAATAATTTTCACAGTTATAATATTTTTCTTTTTTTTGGGTTACCTTTAACTCCACCTAAAACAAAATTAAAATAAAAAAATTAAAATTAAAATTAAATAGAAAATAATATACAAATAATTTTCACAGTTATTTCTTTTTTGTTCTGTGTTACCTTTAACCCCACCTAAATAAATATTAAAATATATACAAAATAAATAACAAAATTAATCCATATGAAATTAATTACAATATAAACTTTATTTATTACTTATTTATTTAAATATTGTTCAATCGTTTGTCCTATTCAAATGATCGAATCACATCGGTTTTTAATTCGACATATCATTCGTGCTAAGAAGACTGAAAAGAAGATGAAGAGAAAGAAGAAGAAGAAGAATTGTGATAAGAGCAAAAGAGCAAGAGAAAAAGAACAAAATAGATAAATAGAGTGAAAGAAAAGAAAAAAAAAAAACAAAGAAAAAGGAAGGAACACGAGGAACATGTTTGTTGTAGATGGATAACTCTGCGTACGTGCCGAATCATCTACCACCGCCGTCCCTGGTCGTGTTTTCGCAGGCCGGGGGACTGCCCGAGGCCCTGAGAATGCAAAGACCCTTCAATCCACAAGTTAGTGTCCTTTTCTTCCTTGCCTTTTACTATTTCCCCCTAAAACAGCTGTCGTATCTTCTTTTTTTCTACGCTTTTCTACGCATATTTTTCAAAAACATTTCCAATCACCCACCCACACACTCACTCACACACGCACCAACATTCTTATTTATTTATTTTTATTTAATTTGTTATCTTTATGTCTCAATTTCCTTTTCTTTTTTATTTTATCTTTTTAAGGGCATTCCCCTTTTTTTCTTTTTTTTTTAATTTGCATACACCAGGTTTGATGATAAATGTTGGTTAAACTTGTTCATAGATCCTTGACAAATTTTGTAAGAATTTGTTGGTTTAACTTTTCGTATTCCTTGAAAAAAAACCTTGATCCTCGAATGTATAAAATCGATTGCCTTGAAGATAACACTCGATACGCATGCATTATCGTTGCTTGATTTATGCACATATGGTACCCCGTTGCGCTTCGATGTTCGATGTTGCGTAGAAATATAGATGGTCGCTTTTATATTTATTCTATGTTACCACTATTCCTAACTGTTGCATGTTTTTATTTATATATTATGAATAACAATAATCAAAATATAAATGAATAATTGTCTAAAATTATCTAAAATGTTCGATTGATCGATTAAATGTACCACAAAATATTTTAATCGTTTATTACGAAAATGATGTAAATTCATTTAAAAAAAAAAACATAATTTTTATGATACAAATAAAATATGAAAAAATTATTGGTTTTTTGTTTTCGAATAATTAAAAATGAATCTACACACATCATTTTAATAATAATAATAATAATAATAATAATAATAATAATAATAATAATAATAATAATAATAATAATAGTACCTTTAGATAACGCGCGTTGATTACGTTTAACTCGATCAATGCGATACAAGATGATTAGATTTTAATTATGGAGGTAATAGTAATCGTTTTTTTTTTAAATATAAAAAATTGATTCATATTATTCGTACCATCGATAAATTTTTCAAATATTAACTGTAAAATGAATTCCATAGGTGTAATACATAAATGTATATATGTGATGAATAAAATGTTGGAATAAGGATTAATTTAAAACCGAGAGAGATCGGATACAAAATCATCTAACTTGAACGGAGGAGAGTGTGTTATCGGCTTTTACACGATCGAGAAACGCGAGAAGAAAGAAAGTAAATCCTTGTACAGCCAGCCGGCTAAACACGTTCACGCCGTAACGTAAACCGCAGTTTTGCCGGCGGCGGCAAGTTAGCGCGCGTGCGAATATATCGAAAAGCTGTCGCGATAAAGACCTAAAGTACTAACTAGATGAACAGAAAATATCGAATTATTTTATGAATAATAATTATGAAGAAAAATGAACAAATTAGGAATGGAAGAAAAAACGTAATCATTCGGTGTTAATAAGAAAAGAATTGAGAATGGTATTGGGATAGTTTCTGTTACATTAGTAGATATATGTGTATATGTTTGTGTGTTGATAATTGGATTTAGATTAAAAAATTTGACGAAATTAATTATATAATTTAGTTTATTTTTTAATAGAAATTATTGTAATATAAAGTCAGGAATTAAATTAAATTAAATTAAGGAATCGTGAGGGTAGTATTGGTATTTTTACTGTTATTTGGTATATATATATATTTTAATTTATAATTTTTTATAAATTAAATTATATTATATTTATAATGTATTTTAGTTAAAAAATTAACGTAATTAATTTTATTTTGATAGTTCTTTATTATAATTAAATATACATTAAATAGTTATAAATATTAAATATTGTTATAGAATCCTTAAAGTCCAAGAATATCAAAGTAAACATTTATTTTACATTGCAATTATTTATTATAATTAGTATAATAATTTATACGTTCAATACAATATTGTTAATTTTTATTTTTATTTAATTTACTGTTTGTTGCATTCTCATAGGTTACGATTTCGAATTTAAAAAAAATATATGAAGTAAAGACGAATACTTTTATATTCGGTGTTTCATTTGTTTCTTTTTTATTTTTTTTTTAAATGTGACTATAGAAAATTCGTCGAAATTACGCGTATATATTGCCTAAAGTGATTTGTTCCATTATTTATCAGTTCTAAAGAATTTTGTTTGTTTTATCCACAATTTTCATATGCGTTGGCTTCTGTAACTCTACGTTCGTACATTTTTTAAATGTATATATCTATAAATAAATTGATAAATGTATTTTGTTGACTTTGACTTGAAAGAAAGAGAAATAGAAATAAATTTATGCGAATTCAAATAATATGTTTAATAGAAAGTGTAATGGAAAAAGAACTTTAATAAACAACAACAATAATAACAGCCAATAAAAAAAGGAAGAGAACAAAATAAAAGCTGTACAGGGTGAGGGTGAAGAGGAGGGTAAGGGGAGAAGAAGAAAAAAAATATGAAAAAAAAGGGTATCGTTTTATAAGCTCGCAAAGCGTCGCTCGTTGTTACCGATTTGTGTTGGAAAAGCTTGTGATAAAAAAAAGGAAAAACCGGGGAACATGGGTGGGTGTGGGGGTGTTGGGGTGTATGGGAAAGAAAAAAAAAGGTCACGCGTATCTATCGGCGGTGGTTCGTCGTCGGTATAATTAAAATAATAATGAATAGCTAATAAATCAGTGATTGGAGAGCTACGAGAGTAGGCGCAAACAACGCAAAGTGAGGAGGAGGGCGAGGGAGGGTTGGGGGTAGCAGCAAATGCAAAACCTCATTTCCATCGGCATAAAAGAATAATAAACTAATCGTGTGGCACACTAATTCCCGCGCGACTCATCGCCCATGTCATTATCGGTCGAATGAAATGTTTATCCGAAAGCTGCTTATCGAAACCTCGTTTTCTACGTTTCCATTTCACCACCCCTTTTCTATATCTACACCCCCTTTTTTCTTCTCTCTCCGTTAGTTCTTTCTTTGTTTTTTTATTTTTTATTTTTTATTTTTTATTTTTTATCATTCGTTATTGTATATTTTATTTTTTAGTTTGTTTCGTTATTTTATTTTCTTTCGTTTCATTTTTTCTGTACGAATTTTATTTTAGAATTAATTTCGATTAATGATTAATATTTATTTTTTTTATTTTGTTTTTATTATTGTTTTATTTAGTTTTTTTTTCTTTTTGTGCGAATTTTGTTCTAAGATATTTTTCTAATTTTTTATTTGAAAATTATATTTTATTTGTTTCTTTTGTTTCAACGTGTTCAAAAGTCATCGTTAATTATTTTATTTTATTGTATACACGGTTAATGATTAATATTTATTTTTTATTTTATTTTTATTTTATTTTTATTTTATTTTTATTTTTATTTTCCTTCTTTTTTTCTTAACGAATTTTGTTCTAGGATATTTGACATTTTTTATTTGAAAATTATATTTTTTTGTTTGTTTCAAAAATTATCGTTTATTATTTTATTTATTGCACGATTAATGATATGATAATGGAAGCATGTGTTTTTTTACCCTCCTTATTATTCTCTTTCAATTCTTTTTGTTTTCTATTTGCAAAATTTGTCTAATTTAATTTTATTTTATTTCTTAACATCTTAAAAGTTCTATCGTCATATTTTTATTCTTCGTTCGATCAATGAGTGATATAAAATGTGAGATATAATATTTCTCTTCATACTTTACTTTACTTTCATTTTTTAATATTTTTTTGTTTAAATTAATCTTTCAATCCTTTCATACAAAGTTATTCCAACATTTCGTCGTCACGTTACTCTTTTAATATTTGGAATTTTTTTCTGGACATATTACGAATTCGCGGTATTCAAATTGTTCTTTTTAACTACTTGTATGATTTAAAAGATATGATAATAATGTGTGAGAGTAAAATGTGATAGAGAAATATCGACGATATTTCGAATTGTTATTTGAATACCTTCGAATGGCTGGGGTAATATATGTGGGTGGGTACGTGACGTAATATTGTTAATAACGGGAGACCATTCGTGTTATAATAATCCGTCAAAATCCGAATCCTTGCGTCCGTCGGTAGCGTACTGTAACGTGCGCGCGTATTTCGAGTGTGATTGACGAGTCTATTAAGTCCATGCTCGTTCGCGTTCGTTTTGTACAGGGGGATGAGAAAGGTAAAAGGGAAGGGGGTGGTACTGGTGTAGTTACGAAAAAACAAAATCAAAAAAAGAAAAAAAAGAAATGGAAATAACAACGACGCGTAAAAGAAATGAAATACAAAAAAAAAGCAACAAAAATATTTAAACAAACAAAACGAAAAAAGGGACATAAATAAAAATAATCACTAGGAAATGAAACGAATTATTTTATAAGGCTTTTAACGTCGAAACAAAAAAAAAAACATCGGTTTCTATTAACGGCTTACGTTGATGCAACCGTGCCACCCAACAAACCATGCAATGCGTAGATTTGAATCGTATCGTTGTTATCGTTATCGTTATCATTGTTTTTGTTGCTGTTATAATATTTAAAACGCGTTTATATACATCGAAGATTTTTAATTCGTAGTGTAATTAGCAAGCAAAGAAAGGGAGGTGAATTTATATCATTAAATATTCTTTTCGTTTATGTTAGGTTTTCTCCTATATAATTGTGAAAACTTACAGTTTTTTTTTATAGTTTTGTGGAAATTCAGGTTGAAACTAACTTGCAATTAGTATGTCATTAAGTTTTTAAACGTATTGCCAGAAATATATCCTTTGTTATTCATAGATGTCAAACGCCGCGTTGTCAAATGTGTGTACAGAATAGATAGATATATGTACTCACACAGATATATATATATATATATATATATATATATATATATATATATTTTTTTTTTTTTCGTACGCTCACCTTTTCTACATGTAATGGAAATACCGCAGTTTCATTTTATCGGGTAACGTTTCGTTCATCGGCTGACGAAACGTATTTCCCACGTGTAACGTGTATCATTAAAAAAAATAAAAAAAAAAGGAAAAAAAAAATAAAAAGGCCAACAAACAAAATAAGCTTCGGCAAATATGTTACTCCCTTTATCCCTTTCCCCTCTCATCCCTTTCTCTCTCACTCTTTGTTTTTCTCTTCCTGTTTTTTTCATAACGAATGGATGAAAATTACGGTTTTGGTCGGTTGAAAAGTTAAAAGAGAAAAAGAGAGAGAGAGGAAAGGGAAAGGGAAAAGGGATGATTCGTTCGTTGCACGTCGAAATCACGTTCCCATCGTTCGCGATTAGCTTAACGTTTGAAAAAGCAGTAGGTAAATTCTTATCCACTATCAGAGTCCATTCGTTTGGTGGTGTACCTAATACTCTTCCTATCATATGTGTATCGGTAATTAATTTTTATCGGTGTAAATTTGAAATGTTAAAATATTATTGGATAGAAGAACTTCGATGGTACGAAGTTAGAATTTCATATTTAAAGAAAAAAATAATTATATTTATATATATAACGTTGTAAACACTATTAATGCAATGTACCTAATACTTATTATTATAGATGTATCGGTAATTAATTTTTATCCATGCAAAATAAAATTATTAAAATATTAAAATATTATTGGGTAGATGAAGGTAAAAAGTTCGATGGTACGAAGTTAGAATTTCATGTTTAGAAAAAAAGAAATAGTTCTATATAAGGTTGTAAAGACTATGAATGCAATAACAGGTGACAGATTCGAAGGAGCTCCAGGTGCCGTTCAGCACAGCGGCGTCCCTCGGTTACGGGCTACATCATATGCTTCACCTGCCACCACAATTTCTTCATCCGTTGGACCATCGGTTACCATTCGGCGGGTTTAGGCCCCTTGGTCCTTCAGCGTTCGCGCCACCGAGCAAGTGCCTCAAGGTCGAGACGGGTAACGGTTCGGTAGCCGGTTCGGGCCTACCAAGCATCGGCTCACTTTCGAGCATGTCGAACATGTTCTCGCCTACTTCCTTGCCTCCCTCCGCCGGTGGAGGAGCAGTAGTCTCAGTTTCGGGCCCAGGAAGCACAGCCACCGGTTCGGGTTCTTCCGTTAACGTCGTTGGTACTACTGCCGGTGGTGCTGGTGGTGCTGGTGGTGTTGGTACAGCCAGTGGTGCCGTTTCATCAGTGCTATCCTCAGGACCGGAAGTTGTTGTTACACCTCACAGCCCGGCTGGTTCCGCTAGCCGTTCACCGACGGGCACAGGGACCGGCTCGGCGCCGAATCGAGGCCCAACCCCCGAGGAGGAGGATCGAGACGCAAACGCCACACCCGGATCCGAGAACACCGAGCGCTCCACCCCCGAGGAGGGACGACCTTACAGACGTGAGTCTTCTATCTACCTATATCTATCTACCCCCCACTCCCTTATTCTCTCTCACTCTCTCTCTGTCTCTCTTTCTATCTATCTATCTAGCTTTATCTATCTATTCTTTGCTCCTTCCACCACCACCACCACCACACAAACCGATTCCTCCTATCGACTTTTCTTCTTCACCTTCTATATTTCTCTCTCTTCTATTTTCTCCTTCATGGAAGAGTACCGGAAGTTATTGCTCGAAGAATACTTTGCCAGAATAAATGGCGTGATATATTTTTATCTTAAGTATAACTACAATCTGATCTTTTTGCTAGATGTTACATAATCTTCGTGTATATATACAAGTGAGTTTCAGGAGTATTCGTTTACCAATTTTTATTGTATATTTGTAATAATTGATATTTTTGCTTGTAATGCGAAATACTTTGAAATTTTTATAAACTGAAATCTATTTTAGGATTATTAAAATTATACATTATCAAATTGATATTAATTTAATTAATAAAATACGTTTTTGTTTATAAGAATTTTGTAATATCGTATAACAAGAAAATATAAATTATTTTAAATTGACAATAAGTATACAAATACTTGTGTGATTAACTGTGTATGATGAATATTAGTTTATAAATTACGAAATAATTTTTTTTATAATAATTTAATCCGTAACTCTTCCGTTCTTTCTTATGTCTTTTGTCATGGGTAAATCTCTACGTTAAATCAAATATTTTGTAATAAATATATGAATGAAATATTGCTTTACAATTGAAAGCTAACAAACTGAGATTTACCTTTACCTTAATCATTATTATCCTAATTATTCACATTCTAGAAAGAATGATCGATTTTTAATCCTTTGGGTGTACATTTATTTGAAAATTTCTTTGTAATATTATAATAATTTAAATATAATATTAACATTGTTTCACACACGTTTAATTTGATCGTGCTCAGAAATACAAAGATTGCAGACGATTATAGCCGTCATTTTCGGCAACGTGTTAAATATAAGATTAAATAATATTTATATAATATATAAATAATGTTAATAATTAATTATAATAATATAAAAATTACTTATTACTTTGAAATTAACCAGAATCAACAAATTAAATCTCGTCTCAGTTGCAATGACGTATTAGAACGTCAAGTGTATCTTTGCTCAAACAAATGCGTGACGTACTAACACGTCAAATGTACCCAAAGGGTTAAGTAAATCTTCGATCATTATTTCTATGAAAGCATGCAACGTAGACTATTCTGAAATAAAGCATTCGTTTGAATTTTGTTTTAATACATTTTAATACATTAGATAAAGTCGTACAGTGTTTGACGAATATATCCGTCGTATTTGTTTCTATATTCGAAGATTCATATTTAAATGTCGCGTAGGTAAAATTTGTGTGCAACTCGAGCAAACACATACACATGCTTCATAACCACATATATGAAACTTCAAATTATATATTAGAAAATGTTGGATGAATATTACGAAAATGGACGGTGGTTTAAATTTAATCTTTGTTGACTCGAGAATGTTAGGATTTTCGTGGTTTACAGTTTATATGAATGAGGACGATCATATTTTTGGATGATAGTAGGTAGGAGTATCAACGGTCTCGTGTCAACAAACAGTTGGACTGAAAAGGAGAAAGTAAAAGATAGAAAGAGAGAGAAAGAGAGAAAGAGAGAGTCCAGCATAAGGGAAAGAGAATCGAGATTTGTGTGCTTAATCTACCTAAAACCGTTTATTTGACTCGGCCCTAGGCAACGTAACAGCTGCTTCACCAAATGAAAGAAAGAAAGAGAGAGAAAGAGAGTGAGTGAGTGAGTGTGTGTGAGAGAGMGAGAGAACTGGCCCATCGGTTAAAGCCTTTCGTTCTCGTTTTCGCGAATGTTTGTTTATTTTTCCGGGTCTGTCTTAATTACCGAAAGATAGAGCCATTCATTTTTCTCGGCTACCTTGCCGTCTACTTTTTCTCTCTTTCTCTCTTTTTCTTTTTTTTTTGTTTTCTCTCTTTTTGTTTCTGTTTCTCTTTTCTATGTGGTGTTCATCGAGGTATGGTAGGATCTCAACCTATCCCCGAGAATTTTCCCTCTCGGGTACTCATTACTTTTAGAATTGTCCTTTTACCGTTTGAAATTCGCTTTGTAAATTTTCTACACAGAGAAAGAGAGAGAGAGAGAGAGAGAGAGAGAGAGAGAAAGAGAAGGACAGAAAGAAAAAAAGAAGAGGTATCTCTCTCTTCTGCTAATTTTCGTTTGATTACGCGAGGAAAAAGTGAAGGTGCAAACTGAAGGGGATAATAGCAAAGTGAGTGGGAGAGAGTGAGAGAGAAAGAGAGAAAAAGGGTTCGGAGAGCGTGATGGATAACAATGTCCTTTGACCATTGCAAACTGGTGCCTGCGCGTTACCTGTAACGTTACTCGCGTCGCTAATTAGTCGATACTCACTTTGTGGGCAGGTATGCTTGCCACACGTTACGGTTCGTCAAGAGAAAGTAAGGTAGACAGGTAGGAAGGAAATTGTTTACGTTTATTTTCAACCATTTATAATTTTTGAAGACACCACTTGGTACCTTCATCTTAATTCCTTTTATTTTGGGGTTTTTATTCTGTCAAAAAATGTGTTTGATAAAAGAATTCTTCTTTTATTATCAGGACTTTGTTTTATTATTTATGGTTAGGGCATATGAAGTTAGATCTGGGAGTGATTATTTTTTTTTTTTACTGATGGTAGGTTGCTAGGTTCACCCTAGAATCCTCATACTTTATTTGGGCTTGATACTAGCTAGGTATTTATCTAGATATCTAGTTACTAACTAGGTACATTAAATAAAAGAGTTATTAATGGTAAAGTATTTCTCTATTTTTTTTCTGTGAGTTCAAATGTGTACCCAAAAGGGTTAAGTTAGTAAGTTAAAAATAAAAATCATAAATATATATATATATATATATTTATTTATATATTTATTTTAATATATATTAATTAAAAATAATAGAAATATAAATTAAATAATAATAAAAATTAATAATAAAAATATAAATTAAAAATTATTATTTTAATATATTAATTTTAATATTAATATTATTTAATATATTTATTTTAATATTAATATTATTTAATATTATAAATATATATAATAATAAATATTATAATAATGAATTAAAATAATATTAAAAATTACTTATTATACTTTGAAATAAACCAAAACCAACTAATTAAATCTCGTCTTAGTTTCAATGACGTATCAGAACGTCATATATGCATCTTTGCCCAAAAAACTGCATGACGTACCAATACATCAAATGTAATCAAACGACTTAAATAATAAACAATCACATTTTTTTTTAATTATAGTAAAAATTATTGCAAATAAATCCTATTTAATTACATGACTCGTTTATAAGGGTGAGTAAAGAGAAATAAGAGAAGAGTACTTATCTACCTACCTATAAACGGGGGAGGTTCGGGTTGGTGCGAGGTTGTTCACGATTGGGGAGGTGGGAGGTGAGGGTGGGTTTTCTGTGTGTGTCGGCGGAGAGTTACTGGGCAAGCTCGAATCAACGATGCAAGCGACTGGAAAATTTGCGGGAAATCGCGGAATGTCTAGCAAATAATTCGATCTCTCGCGTGTCAATGCGAACCTCGGGTATACGCGGGATCGCGTATTTCGAGTCCAGCGATGCGCCATTTCGATTAAACACTCTCTCTCTCTTTTTCTCTTTCTCTCTTTCTCTTTCAGAGCACGCCGTTTTTCGAGAGTTGCTCTCTCGTTCATTCGTTCATTCGTTCATTCGTTCATTCGTTTCGTTCGTTTCGTTTCGTTTGCTGTTTCTATCTCTCTCTTTCAGACACACATACACACACACACACATGGATACATATTCGGAACCAATACTTCCAGATTGTCATGGATACATGTGCAAATAATCATTTGCGACTGAACTCGTAGCATTTACACTGCGTTTATTTGTATCTAATGATACGGAAAAAATGATATGAAACTAATATTGGCCGATGATCTGATGTGTGCAAACCCACACCACCCCCTTCTCCCCATATATATATAGATATATGTGTATATTATATGCATATGTACGGCAATCGTGCGAGATCGTACCGTTTCTGTCACGTTCATAGAAGTTCTGACCAACGATGAGCGATCATTATTGAGCTCCGATAAATAAATTATTCCCGACGGTGTTTCATCGTTGGCCGATTAAACGAGAACCCATTTCTCTCTCTCTCTCTTTCTCTCTTTCTCTTTTCTACCCCCTCGTGTCGTTCGATTGGCTTTCGTTACAATTCTCATTCAGTTGAGTAGTTAGGTAGTAGTACTCATGTAACACCCATATCGTTGAAATTTTATTCCATGTAAATATAATTATAATACATACTTATGGTATTTACATTAATTCGTATTATTTTTTGAGATAGAAGGTAAAGGCATCAGTGGTTAACCGGTTCAGAGAAATTTTGATCTTAAATAGTGGTAATTTGTATTTTTATTTAATAGTAGGTCTTGATGCGTAAAGATATTGTTTGAATTTCGGATATTTTTCGAAAAAAGTTGTGTTACACGAAAATAATAAACATTAATTTTTATATTTAGTATTTATATTATATATAGATACGAGATATATAGAAACGCAGATTGGTCTTTATTTCTAAAGGCAATATATCAAAGATCCAAAAACTAATTAGGAACTTATTATAAAATATATATATTTAATATAATATTCTAATATATATAATAATAATATTGTAATTAATATATTATATATAATATATTATAAACATTTATATATATAAAACATTATATATACGTATATTACAAATCTTGTTGATTTTGTTAATGAAATGAAAGTACTTAATCTTCTTCTCTTATTTTTATTCTTGACAAAATTCTTATAAGAATTCTTATCGTTTCCTCTCACTTTATCCTCCCTCCTCTCTTTTTTTTTCCTTCTCTCTCTTTCCCTTACCAACAAAATTTAAAAC